AGATCAGGATAAACCACTGTCGAGTTGTTAATTTTATCATGATAAATGTTGTTCAGTATGTATTGTGGTTTTTTTTTTCCAGAATCAAACAAGCCAGAAGTTTGGACATTACACATTACCAGCAATTGATAACTCAAAACGAAGTGGTGCTCATGGCTTTTGAAGGAGCATTTGGTTTCGGCAGAGAGATTACAAAGTCTGAGAACTATTATGGGTTGTGCACATGTATGACGGTATTGTAAATAATGAAGGCTTGCCTACTAGCGTCAGTTTGTTTGCATCTTGGCCTTGCTAAAGCAAGGCTGGTGTCTCTCAGAGATCATCAAGGAGCCTTAAAGGAGGATGTGCATTCCTTTTCCTTTACTTAAAGAATCAAACTGCTCTTTTCAAAAATGTCAATGAAAACCCCGTCAAAAGGAGATCAACTTAATCAAGGTTTAAACAACAAGAGGACTCTATCCTATTACAGAACTTATTTTTAATTATTTGTGATATTGAAGACAGGTCCTTAGTTTCCTGCCATCTTTATGAACATCTACATATATGTATTTGTTCAATGTTATCTTGTTATTTAAGATATTTTAGTTAGACAAAGAAATGCAAGGTATCCTATAAATAATGTACAGAAAATATTTTTATGAACGAGAAAGTATTTTTTACCTGTTCAAACATTGTTACATGTAGGTGATGATTTTAAGTAGAATTTGATTTTGGAAAAAAAATAATTTAGCTGCCAGCCCAACAGCTTTGATTTCACATTTATAAAAATGTGGAGGATACCTGAGATTCTGTTTTTAAAAAGTTGATATATTTCCACAATATACATTGTCAGCCATGTCTAGAAAGTCTGCCCTTTTTAATTCATCTGGTGTTGCAACTCCAGATATTCATGGAATGTTTCTTTAGTTATTCCTGATTGAAGACACATTCTTGGAACAAAAAAAAAAGAACACAAACTTTGAACAATGGCTCACAAACTTTGGAATAATGGGAATGGAGATTGCTGATTACAGATAAGGCCTAGGATTGTTCCTTTCTGGAACACTTTCAGGAATTTTTGTTTCCATTGTTTTCTAAATATTCTAAAAGTTTATTTATCTTTCAGTTTCAACAAATGCAGTTTATTCCAAACTCCCAATGCATTGCATAATTCAGTTTTCCTTTTTTACATCTCTCAAATCAGATGTCCTTTCAGTGGTAGTTGCAGAATTAGATTGTCAATTAAAATATTTTGTGAACTAGGAGATTTTTTCTAATTTAGTGAACCCTTTCTGTATTATTTTCCTTTTATAGGGTGTAATTAAATAGGTTCCACATTTTTTGTTTTAAAGAAAAGGTACTTTAGAGAATTCATTTGGATAACAGACATTCTACAGAGAACTGAGTTGTGTAGTAAGATCTGTAACATACTGTCAAGATCTTAACTAAGTTAATTTTTGTGAAAAAAAAAAAAAGATTTAATTTAGTTTTGAATTGACAAACCAAATGTTAAGCTACAGCAATAGTGTGGTTTTGAACTTAAAAAATAAAGGTGTGAATCTATGAACAAATTTGCCTATTACAGCATTCATTTTCCCACTGACATTGTCACCAAACCTTCCTTCAAAAGAAACTCCATGCTCATACACACATTTCTTATGCAATTTATGGAAATGATATCTGGTCAACAGAGTTCTCAAAAAAGTGCCAAAGCAATCAAGAGAGCCATACCAGACTTCATCATCATCATCATCATCACTCATTGTGCCAGTAGGCACATAAGGCTGTCACATTGTCCGCCTAGCCCCCTGTCATGTGCTGCTGCCTTGGCTACGTTTCAGCTCTTTCACCCTGCTTTGCCTCTCTTTCTTTTGAAAGTCCCTCTCCAAGTGGTCTTTGGTCTCCCTCTTGCCCTTCGACCTTCATGTGTCCACCCCAATGGCAAAAAACAGTCATTCACACCCTCTCTCCTGAGTATGTGTCATAACCAGTTCCACCTTCTCCTTTGTACCTTGCAGCTAACTTCACTGATCTCTGCCATTTCAACTACTCTCTTGTTTGTCATTCTTGCTGCCATCTAATCCTAAGTATCCATCTTGGGCATTGACATTGGAAACTGTTCAGTAAGGATAAGAATCCTGATATTAAACATCCTTGCTTTACTCCTGACTTAATCTTGAACCAGTCTGATATCTTGCATCCATCAATTACTGTACATTCAAACCCTTCCTATATGCCTACTACCACTGTCTCTATCTTGCGTGGAACTCCATGGCTCCCCAGGATGTTCCACAAGCTTTCTCTGTAAACTTAATCAAAGGCTTTTTCAAAGTGAGAAAACTGTTCCAGTTACAGCAAATCCATTCATACCACAGAAGTCACATAACCTTTCCCCATTATCACTCATGACTTTAACACCAAATTTCCCCATTACCTCCTCTCTGTTAATGTTGTTACTCTCTACCTTAATGTTTAGATCTCCCATCACCACAATCATATCATGACTACTGCAGCTTGCCACAGAGTCTTGCAGCTGGTTGTAAAACTTATCCTTCTCCTCATCCATTGCATTGTTTGTTGATGCATATGCTTGTATCACCATTAGCTTTTTATGTTTTGAGTAGAATCGTGCTGATTTGCATCCATTCCATTAAGGCTCTCTTTGCCCTCACACTCATCATGAAGGCAACTCCTCCTTGTTGCACTTCCTCATCTCCCACATACACCACCCTCTCACCACCTTGCAATGCCTTGATCCCATCCCTTTCCATCTGCTTATCCCTAACTCTTTAATTCCACATCTTGCCATCTCTGGCAACTTAAATGATTCACGTTTCCTCCGCTATGGTCCTTATGTTCTGACAACCGATGGTGATCTGTTTCTTGGGGGCTACTATGGTACATATTAGCCTTTGGGCTTCTGCTGGCTTTTGCCCAAGAGCATCCTGATGGCTCCAGCAGCGACACCCTCCATTTAGGTTGTATCATCAATGCAACCACTTTCCCAACTTGGAGGACCAGGGGGTCATCCTTTGGTACCCTTTGACCTGTTTGGCATAGGTGACCCTACCAGGAGTGCAAGACTTCAGCCAACATAGCTTTAGGGGTCATTGAGACTTGCAAACTGCCCACACAATAAGGTGGTGATACTACTTGGAGCAGAAACCAGACTTCACTTCTATAAAAACTTGATCTTAAGTCTAGTTATTGACCTACATGTTTACAACAGAAAAATTTATTTACTCATTAGTCCCCACCCTGGCTAGTGGCTTGTCTACATTAAAAGAACCCCCTCCCTTAAACAAAAGGAATTGTTGCCCTTGGGAATATTCCATCAAGCAGCAAGGCCCACAAGACTCTAGAGGTCTGAAGGATCTGTTCCACTTTTGAGCAACACCTTTTACAGACCTCTGACCCACTTGAATCTTGCAGGCTTTCCTAGATGAGAGCGTTCACATGAGCACACTCACAAGCTCATCGTAAGGCTGTCCTCCTCCTTAACTCTGTCTCCTTGACTCCTACTCCGAAATGCAAGTGTCATTCCCCTGTATGGTGTAAGTAAAGTTTTAGCTTTTTCTGGTGGCGAAATGAAGTGAAATTTGTGATAACCTTGTTGTTAATCTTTTGCCTCTCTGCTTCTTGTCTAAATATCCCTGGCAACATTTAGATATTGTTTGTGTCATCTTGAATTTTAAACAGAGGATACTACCTCAATTTTTGACCTTTCTAATAAGACATCTTTCTACAGTCTCAGATGGGGGCATGGATACTAGTGGTATAGAGTATAAGTGTTTCTGTATTGTAATTCTTTTGAGGGTAGGTTAAATATTCTGCACAAATATGCTGGAAGTAACTTCACAAAGTGCTTCGAACAATTAAACACTTTTGTCTTGAATAAATCAAAGGACTTTGTTCCAACAGGGTAATGGTTTTTATTGCCTTCTAATGCTCACTATCACTCTGACTCCCCTTTCCCCTCCTATGGTGTACATCTGAGACTCCTGAACAACATTTTACAGTAGGCCAAAATTTTAATTGACTAATAAAAAAAATTTAAAAATTTCTTCAAAAAATATCTTACATTATTTAAGATGTTCATCAAAATTGCCTAGAGGATAATATAGTTCTCCTAAAATTATGCAACTACAGATTTTAAACTCCATTCCTGTTTCGGTAACCTCTGACAATAACAGGCGCCTGGAACCACAGCCATTCATCTGAGTTCGCGTTAGGGGGGTTAAGCTGCTCGTCAAGGGCTGTCCTTACACTTATCTTACAGCTTTGACCTCGGTTGGGTGGCTTGAAAGATGATTTTGGTCGAAACCATTGGACATGTGAAGATCTGCTAGCTTGTATGAAGACAAACATTGAAGTAGGGGATATATCCTTAAATGTACCGAGGTCTGGATTCGATATCAAGCTCCGTATCAGCTTACGACAAGAAGAATTGCATATTCTAGAAGAACTCTCCAAACTGTTCCTTTCCTCAGGGTTCTGAAAGTCTAAAAGATATCGTTCTTTTGGACTAACCGGTGTTGACCCCAGTAAGATTAAGGCAGACTTGACCACTGTTGACATAAACAGCTTGTTTATATTGTCAGACAAACACTCTACATCTTCGTATACTTTCTTAGCGTTCTTGTACTCCGTGTTGAGAAATCGCCGGGTCACTGGTTGCTCTACAACATTTGTAGTTATATCTTGCTTCTCTTTCTCTTCCATCATTCTTGTGAGTTCGTGGTAAGGCATCGGTAGTTGTTGCCTTTGATACAAAAGGTATTCAATGCAGCTTTTTAAAAGGGCCGACTTAATGATTTGCGTGACATCTTCATTAAGATTTAATATAACTTCTACCTCTTTTGCCATATATAATAGTACCTAGAGAAAGAAATCGTCTGCTAAAAGATTCCTAAACAGGCGTCCTTACGAATTTCCACGGCCCGTTTTCGTTAGTCAAAGACGTGCCCCGAAAATGACCCCAAGATTGGATATGGAACGCCTGTCACTTTCTCGCCGTGATGAGTTGGAACAAAATGGCGGACACTCACGAAGAAATAGTCCCTAGAGAACCAACCTCAGCTGTGTTTTCCAGGGCAGATTTCATGAAAGAGTCTTTTAGCGTTGACAGCTTCGTTGGAAACTGCAAAGGGAGTGTACCTTTGGAAGTGCTAAAATCAAATTTAGACGAGTATTTGAAGGCCTTGAAACATGCATTGATTGAGTTGATCAACGAAGATTACGCCGACTTTGTGAACTTGTCTACAAACTTGGTGAGTGTTTCTCTCGTTTTAGTGAAGAAATAGAAACTTTTCTGCAAGGAAATTATTCGTTAAGGTACGAGATGTCATAGTTTACAGGCTAATCTGTATAAACAGGGGATGAACGGGGAAATATGTACTGAAGCTTTTGATGATTTAGGGGTCGTTTTCGGGAAATTTCTGACGAGGCTAGGGGCCAGAGGTCAGATGGTTCCCAAGGGAAATTTTGATGACCTGAGTTACTTTTTATTCAGACGAGTAGAGTAGTCTTTTGTTATATGATCTCTGTTATTTTGCTACTAGTCACACTCCTTTACAGAAAAGCATGATATACACAGTGATGCCAACCTCTGGACATCTCAAATCTGGAGATCTTTTTTTCAGACCAGAATCCCTGCAACCGAATTTGCCAATGAGATTTGGCCCTGGAAAATTTATTTTTTATTTGGACCCCCTACCCCCCCCCCCCTCCTGAGCAATTTTGCAAGAAAAACATGGACCTATCTGTCAGGGACTTAAATAGTTGAATACTCATCCAATCAGACTCTCACTTATATCGGATTGACAAAGAAAAGACTCTCTTCTTTTTGTTTGCAACGAACAACATGTATCATGCAAGAAAATGAAGCCAGAAACTGTAATACAAGCATAAGAAGCCAGATGATTTTGGAATTTGGGAACATATGGAGCTTAAATCTTAGTTTTTTGTGAGTAACTGATCCAAACTTCCTTTTATCTGGGAGTTTTGGTCACCTATATGCAAGAGCGGGAGATTGGCTCTGTAACTGGGAGACTCCCTGATAATCCAGGAGAGTTGGAATATATGTATACATTTAAAAAAAGTGCTAAACTTTGAGGAAAACTAACTAAAAGAAATACTAGAGGTTTACCTGTGATTGTATCCATGTAAACTTCTAGTTACCAGATCTTCCCAACTGCAGACTAGGGATATGCTCTGATAGCCTGGTTTCTAATCCAGGACTTCCCAAAATTTTAACTTCTTGGATAACACTTTACACATTTTTATAATCATTGAATACATTTTAATTCTAATCATGGTACTTTTTAGGATCAAGGGCCACAAGTTCATCAGTTGAATTACTGTTGTGTGCTACCCACCTTAAATAAAGTTGTTGTTTGTTTGTTTGTTTATTAGGTTGGAATGGATAAGAGTATTGCCAACTTGTCAGTTCCTCTTGGTCAACTAAAGGAGGAAGTTTTGGTGAGTATATTTGCAGAGAGTAAACTGTAATCTTTGTTTAGAATTGGATTAATGAAAGAAAGTTAATGGGAATCCAAGATGTTTGAAGGTATCACTCTTCAAGTAGATTAAAGTAATTTGACTGAGTGAATTTTGTTTCCGTAAACATTGCAATTGTCTATCCCTCAGCTCATAAAGTCTGACCTTGATGGAACAATTGGTGCAATAGAAGACAAATTGGATGAAAGAGCACTGCTAAGACAGACAAAGGTATCATAAAAGGACAACCAGTCATATAGCTTGTTTAACAAACTGTAGATATCAATTTTTATGAAAGAGTAATCATGGTAGTTTTTTGGTCAATAGATTTCTCTTCTTTAGGGATTTTCAAGTCACTGAAAACAGAGGAGCCTTGAAACTCATATTTAAAAGATAATTCTTTTGGTAAATTTTTTTTCCTTAGAAAAAGAGTGTTTGGGTTTAGATATTTTCATGTACACATTTTGGGCATAGTCAGTAATAAATGAGGATTCTATGCATTAGCAGAACTTTAAAAAGAACTTTGCTATTGGAGTCTTGGTTTATTTTCATTGCAAACTTCTTATTTCAAATCTTTACTTTTCATCCAAGACATGCATGCAACATTTATTGAACATCACAAAGTCACTGGAAAAGATTGAGAGACTCTTACAAGGATCCCGCCTCTCTCAGGATGTGACAGCTAAAGAACCTGAAGGGTGCGTAAAAACTAACCTTTACAAGTATTTTGGAGAATTTTTCACTTCATCGATGCTAAATAAATGACCTTTGTATTTGTTTTAGGGATGATGACTCTCATTTGATTGAGAGAGTTGCCAGTGAATTTAATCAGCTGCAGTTTTATGTTACTCAGAGTCAGGGGCATCCATTGGTGGAAAGTATCAGAGGGGTGAGTTGTTTGATTGGTTGATTCCTGAATTAATAAGAAAATGTTGCATTATGTGCAGGAACTATGCAGATAGGATATTTTATTGCAAAAATATCAAACTGGCACTGGTTAAGTTTGGATGTTATTTCATTACCTTATTCTGCCAGAATGCTAGTGTGACATGGTAGGAATTGAATGTTGTCATTAGGTAGGAGTTTAGCCTTAATGCATTAAGTAACTTCTCCTAACATTTCAATACTTAAATCAAAAGCAAGGTAATGAAAATATTTAAACCAGTCAGCAAGTGGTTGCCAAATTCTTCCATCAACTGAATTTGTTTACTACCTCAGAAGCAGCAGCAAGATTTTAACACAAATACTTATTTTAACTGTTTCTTTTATATTTCCTTGAAAAGCGCATTGCTGCCATCACAAGTACCCTTCAAAAAAAATTGGAAGCAGCATTTCAAGAAGGGCTCCAAACAGGAGAATTGAATCTGTTGTCCAGAGTGCTAAGAACTTATGCTATCATTGACAAGACAAGAGATGCTGAATTGTTGTTCAGAGAAGTTACTGTTAAGCCATATATGAGCGAGGTAAGATCTGAACAAGGCAAAACCTCATTTAGCAACAAGGGGTACTGCTATTTTATCTAGATTTGGTGTTAGTCTGGTTTATGTTGTTGGTCAGATTTCTGCAGTTGTTCACCTTTTTATATCAGGAAGTAACAAGGGTTACTGTTATGCCAACTGCAAATTCAGCCACTTCAGTACAGTTTACCAACCAGCATTTGTCAGCTTTACCATAGTTTCCTGGCATTCATTACTCTTTTGTGGAAAGCAGCACTGGTAGACTTAATATGTGTCTTGCCCAAGAACACAGCTCAATTACTTCACCAAAGTTGAGACCAATGCTTTTAGCTCACAAACTCTCAAATTGCTACATCTCCTATGGCGGTATAAATTGGATAAGTTTACTAACTTTGTACAATTTCTCTTAAGGTTATTGATGAGAAGATGTTGACTGCAGATCCCTCTCAAGGCGTGTTCAATGTGTACAACAAAGTTCTTGAATTTGTCCCTAAACACTGTGCACAGATGATGAACATAACATCAGGTAGATATGTTGCCAGTGATGTGGAGATGTTCGGTGAACAAAGAGCAGGAATAAGAGGCTTTGATTTCTTAGTGAATGCTGTGTGGCCTGAAGTAGTGGGTCTCATTGATGCACGGTTTGGATCAATCTTTGCCCCTGGTAATCCAGATGCATTCCATCAGGTATTTGATGATAACAATGATAAAATAATAAAAACAATAACAACATCAATTGACCACTCCCCCAGTGGGGCTTTTCAAAGCCACCACAATCCAATCTCATCATAAATGAACTTTGAACTTTGAATTAGACTTAGAGTTAAACAATCCTGACTGGCCTGAGGCAGATCAGTTGGCCATATGCACAGCCAAGGAGTTGAACTCTGGGCAACTGAAAACAAATCAATTGAGGAGCTTGGTGGAGATCTTGAACAGGAGACTTCTAGATTACAAGTCCAGCTCCTTACCCATTGGCTACGCTGCCTCCTTTATAGTACCATTAGTGATTTGTTAGTCTGCATAGCAGGCTTGTTTTTACTTTGTAGTGTGTCTGGCATTCTGTCATCTTAACAAAACTACTTTAATTAAAGTGATCTCAAATTTACACTGCAGAAATACATGACCACAATATGGTTTATCAATAAGTTTGAGGGTTTGTGTGGTTCTAAAGCAAGTGTACAAAGACTGCGGTCACATCCCAGCTTTACAGCTTTCATGGCAAGGTGGAGTTTGCCAGTCTATTTTCAAATCAGGTGAGTGTAAGATTATAAAATTGTATCTTGTTTTTCTTTCAGTTTTCCATTAGGCTTTGCAGAGTATCATATTTTTGGTCTGCAATTTTCTGACTGAAAGTAAGTGTGTTTTGCTCCTTTCTTTTATTCATTTTTAGTGTCTTGTGTCATTTTAGGTTCCAAGAAATGGTAACTAAGTTTGAGAATTCACTCCAGTTGACTCAAGACAAGACAAAAGGTACAGTTTAGTTCATTTGGTTGAAAAACTGTAAGTACTCTGCATTACTTGGACGGGAAAGTCTCAAACAAAGGAAATAATTATAGGTAGCTTTAGGTAATAAATTTTTTTAATCTGGCTGACATGTTTTAATTTCATCTGGTACAAACAGTACTTGAAGTCTCAAGGAATTAGAATGGAAAAGGGAATTGTTTTCTGTTTTGTTTTGTGGGTTTCTCTCAGGACATATTGTGAATTTGTTTACAAATTATTAGAACCATGAAATAGATTTTTTGTGGTTCAAAGTGAATAAAAGTCTGTTTTAAAGAATGGTACATCACTTTGCCACAGTCACTACAGCTATGGCAGTCAACATGTCATTTCGCGAGTTGTCACACATTATTAATTTCTGCTCATCACAGATGTTCTCTTGGACTCTGACCTATTCTTGACATCAGCTGTGAGTGTCTTGTGGTGGTGCATTGAGAGATGTTGGCAAGACTCAGTTTACATTCAGGCCCTCTGTCACAGATTTTGGAAGATGACCCTACAGGTAAGTATTTGAAAGGTAAAGCACAGTCTGTCCTTTATGTTCTAAGCACGTCTCTTCACTTCTCTTTCACTTCTCATACATCCTGGTTTGTAATGTCTTCTATGGATTTTTGTCTGAGCTTAACATTCCTTCCAGAAAATGGGTAAGATACTGTTTCCTGTTTTTTTTCCTGTAGCTTCTGTCACGTTTATCTGTGTGGATCAAAGAAGATGTTTCATCTCAAAAGGTAGTCATTGTAATTGGAGAGTAAGTTGATAGTTTTGTTTTTGGTCACTCACAGGAGTGACCTGAAATCAATTTCTCCCTAGAGTATCAGTTTATTTTGAAGTAGAAAGGTAATGAGAAGAAAGAGAAACATCAACAAAGGGAGATTATTTAACACAAAATTCTCAGATCTGACATTGTTAGAAATGTATGACAAACAGAGTGAAGTATTGATAGTGAGGTTTTCTTAGAAAATTTTTCTAATTTATTTGATGAAAAATTAAATAACACTGCAATGGAAATAAGAGAAAATAACTCATAATTGCATTAGCTTGTTCAAAACTCCCAATTGAAAAAAGACAAGTGAAAAAGGAAGTACACAAAAATGTTAGGGGTCATAGCTTCCCTTATCACTACATCTGTTACTTGTCCATTCTCTTGCTCATCTCCTCTGTCTAAGAGCTTGGAGCAGGCTGTAATTGAAGAAGCAATGAGAGTTAGAGATGTCTATGTGTGCTCTCTCTTTTGTTGTTTGTGTGGCATTATCAGACTGACTCTAAACAGACGAAGTGTAGTGAGGCTTAAGTGAATCAATGAATTTTATTAGATCAGTGATGGTGACACAAAGCAAGGATCTGGAGAGGAGTCTACATTGTACTTAGTTCATTTGCTCAGTGACTTAAACACTCTTCTGACAAAGGTGGGTTTGGAATTTGGAACACAACTTGAGGAACATAATTTGATTCTGAGTTGATAATAGTCACTCCATCATGTCTGTCAATATTCTTGGCATGTTTCACTGTTTTCTTGCCAGACTTTATTGGAGGTTGTCCCTCCTTCCCATCCCCAATACAATGTTGAATTGTCTAGTTTGCTTTCAGGCGTAGTTCAGCAAAGTCAAAAGGGAATTTGTGGGGTTAAGGGGTTACTAAAGACCTCAGAAATTCAAGGAATTTGTGAAGGAACGTTATTTTCTGTGGTATTTTATCACTCATTGTGGTCAAGATTGTTTTCCTAATGAGATCAGTTTATTGGAGCAAAAAATCCAAAATGTGTGTGAGATATGAAAAAAGTATGAGTTAGTCTCATTATCTCAGGGAGCTTCTTTCCCGCTTCTTTATCTTAGGTGCCAGAGTTCTTTAGACTGGATATATTACCTAAACTACGACAAACAAATATTCAAGACACAGAGCTCTTGTCAGGTTGGTTTATCCCTTGCTTTCTTTTTGCCAACAGTCATTTCGCAGCCAATGAGACGCTTTTATCTTAACACTCAACTATTCTGTTTTCAGAGGCCATCCTGGAGTCTTGTGGGGCCATTCAACAGATGGTGCCGACACTGGAGGCTCAAATTGTGAGCCAAGTGGTGAATAGAGCCTCTCAGGGACTTGAAGCTGTTAAGAACATCCCCAGGTTGTATCGGAGAACCAATAAAGAGGTAAGCCCTCTTCACTTCCTACGATATTGGAGTGATAAGTAATGACACAGTTATTTGAAAATAGAAGCAAATTAAAGCAGTATTCAGTCATACAGCGTATTTAACAACAAAATCGAAGTTCTCAAAGCCAATCGGGAGAGAGCTGGTTATCGCAAGCAGCCAGTCAGATTTCAAGGCGAACTCTTGCAAACTGCTTGAAACGCGGGAAAAAGCGTGGCCAACCCTGATTGGTCGATAGATTAGCGTGAGTTTTCTAGACCAATCACAGAGAAGAAGAAAGCAAAATTAAAGCAAACCCGGATGTACTAGAAGCAAAACATTTCAAAACAAACACTAACCCTAACCCTAAGGAAGATTTGTTTCTGTTCTTGAGTGTTCTTCAATTTGCTCCAGGTTCCTTCAAATGCCATATAAATATTTGAAATTCAAAGAATTCTGTCTATGTTGATTCTCGGCAGGCTCCAAGCAAGTCGTCTCCATTTGTGAGCAGTGTGCTGAAGCCTGTGCGTGAATTCTTGGAACAGACCCAGCCTCTAATTAAACAACAACAGCGCCAAGCCTGGGCAGCGACAATCTTACAGACTTTGCTCGTTAAGTCAGTGATTTTTCGCTTTCGACCTCTACCTTTTTTTTTCCTTAGCATCTGTTTGTGTTCCTTTTTCCGTTTTCAACCACTGTTTACATCTTACTTAATTGAGATTCTGGACCCTATGTTTTTACAGCGAGTTGACATATCTTTGCCTGAGGATGCGCGCCGGTTTTATGGTTAACGCGCTAGAATTCTGATTGGAAAGTCTGGGCTCGAGTTCTAACTGGCTATGTTTTATTTTCGGGCCAAACACTTTCCCCTCACAGTACCTCTCCCAAATGGGAAATATGCACCAACAAGCAGGCAGGGCTGAATATGATGGTATGCGGGGGCATAGAAAAAAAAACTCACCCTCGCTTCTAGCTTCATTCTTCAGAAAACGGGATAAGTAACAGTTCTATCAGTGTGGCCGCGAGGCTCGTATGACCCAAGCTAATACTTTTACGGGTGTGGTCATGTATATTAAAAACCCGGGTTCTTGGCACCCTCGGGCATATTTTTGACTCTTTTAGACGTAGCTACGCCCTTGATTCCCTTGTCAGGAAACCGATTAGTCCTGTAGTCTTGCTCTGTTTGTCTGATATATCACTTGTTGAAATATCGAGCACATTTGTCGTTAACCAACCACTGTGTTATACAATAACTGTTAATTAAATTTTCCCCAGGTATCACGCCGTTACAGGCGATGTGCTCACGTCCATCAAACGCACTGAAGACAGCTTGATGCGTCTGAAACGCTCCAGAAAACAAACGGGACCTGGAGCGAGTGGCCAAGCTGTCAGTCAAGACAGTCAATCACCCATGAGTGATGACGACAAGATTCGTCTCCAGTTCTCTCTCGACACGGAAGAGTTTGGACGAGCGGTAAGGAACAATGATTTACTTCATATGATATTGAAAATGCTTACACTAAAATTCCTTCACTAAGCCTAAAAGTATACTTGATCTAAATTTAACTTTCGGTTTTGACCAACTCAGCCCAACTTCATTAATCTGAAAATTTTTCCTAACAGCTAAAAGAACTGGCTGTCGAAGAGAACCGAATCCCTGCTTACACCGAGTTACTCAACACAGTAAAAGCCGCACGTGCTTCGAACATCGCCAACAGCTGAAGCCAGAAGCAAGCTTTGGGCTAAAAGAATATGGAATTTCCGTTTCCTTTAACCTAAATTCACTTCTACGGACTTAAAAATGGGCCGAAATGGAACACAAACCGTGGAAGAGATAAAAGTTCGTCTAATTCATTCTACCAGAGAGAGAGAGAAATGAGGACACCGAAGCGCAATTGTGTTACTGAGAATTCTACCAGAAGCTTGCGTGTGAAACACGATTAAGGGAACAATATAGTGATGTAAAGGTTAATTGATGTTCAGTATCGGTTATACATCAGATATCGTGGCTTGTGTTATTTTTAAATTGTTGGATATTGAGCGGTATCCAACCTTTGGACAATAAGAGGCACGGCTTACCCTACCCGTGCCTCTCCTTGCGGTCATGGTCACTGATACAGCACGTGTTTTTGAGGGTATACGAAGAGTAAACTTGTCTTGGTATTAGTGCGCTAAGTGGAAATAGCGAATATTTATTGGGCCTAAGGACCTTATATTTATGTCACGAAGAAAGAGACTTGAAAAGGAAAGTTTTTAATCGAGAACACTTTCATCTTTCTCCTGTATGAGTCGAGTACTCTTCTGAACGGGACGTTTAATGTAATTATGGAGAAAAAAGTATTTTATAGAGACTTTCAATTACGTACTTAAATTCCAATAGAATGTGAATAGATTTCTAGACAATAGCTGTATATTAGCTCAGGTTAAGAATATGACAAATGTTAATAAGCGCACGATTTAGTGGAATAATGGAAAAACTTACCAGTACTTTTTCAGCTATTCTGGAGCTTTTAATTGTTCAGTTATCATTTCTTTCATCACCAGAAAAAATAATGTTTCTACTCCTTTTAAGAACTTGAAAAAACACACATAGAATACATTTTGAATTAATTCACTTATTTGAATGGAATGAATGGAACTTTATTTGCACTTTACCATGGTTATGTGAAAATCAAGACTCTTACTTGAGTGTCAAAATAAACATATGAAATGCATCCTTTTAGAGGGGAATCACGTGAGAGCTTTTAAACAAACGTTCAAAACGCAAAAGAACAAAAGGTACTAAGTTGCAGTGAAACTTATGCCACTGTTTAAAATGGTACTGAACCAATCGCTTTAATGAGTCACTCTAATTACAAAGTGCGCGTGTCCTCAACACTTTGAATGACGTATCTGACGATTGTGACGTGAAAGATTCGTTATCAAACGCAAGGGAGTTCTTGTTTTATGTTCGAGAAATCATGGCAGACGAAGCGAAGAAAGATATGTCTATTGTTGAAGATAACGTTTTAGAAGTTTACGAGGTAGAGGATGGAGCTCTCCAAGAGTGCATGATGTTTGTTAAAAAATTGAGTGAGACAAGTTTACGTGAGCTGGAAACCGAGAGGAACAATTTAAATGATCTGTTAGCCGAAGCCGAAAAGGAAGTGAATAAATTGAAAACTTCTCTCAAGAAAGCTAATGAGAACGTAGAGGAACTTACATCGAATGTGAAAGCTGAAAAAGAGCAACGCCATAAGGTTGAAGATCTTCTTGAAACAGTACAAACCACTGTGGATGAGTTGAAGATTGAATTGAGTCGCAGTAACGACTCAGCTGAGGACGTGCAAAAGATTACGCAGGAGAAAACGCGGGCTCTGACGGAGGCAAACGAAGTGATTGCTGAGATTACTGAAGAGAAGAAAGCTCTGCTAGAGGAGATCACAAAACTGCAGCGCTTGAGATCCCAGGAGGAAGAAAATACTAACGCTATACATCAGCGGCTACTCAAGGAACAAGAAAAAGTGTTGGTTCTTGAAGAAAAGCACGAGGAAGAAATATCACAATTGAATCAAGAGTTGACTGAAGTACAGAGTTACTTGACCTCGCTGAAAGAACAAACCGCTGCTGAGGTGGCACAGCTCAAACAGAAACTTGACCTAGAGCAAAAGATGAACGAAAGCTTAAGCAATGAGGCTGACAGCTGTGTTGATGACATCAAGAAACAGCTTGTGAAAGTCTCGCGTGAGAATGAAGAAATGCAAGCAAGTAAAAAATCTCTTTCTGATCGACTGAATACCGCGGAAGAGGAGATACTGATACTGAGAAGGAAACTAAATGAAGAAAAACAGAGGAGAGAGGAACTTTACCAACATGACAAGGCGCATCTTGAAGAAACAAACAGCCAGTTAGAGAAAAAGATATCGGACAATGAGGTTTTGAGTGCGGAGAAGGAAGAAATTGAAAGGAAACTTCTTTCTTTAGAGGGTGAAAAAGAAGAACTCATAAGTCGCGCCAAGAAGTTGGAAGAAAGCATGGAGGCTACACGAGGCGAAATGTTATCCCTTCAGGAAGAGTTAGAAGCCTCAAAAACTTCTCACAAGGTACCTTCTGATCATGATCATACTGAAGAGGCCGCTGACTCATGGGCGAACAGAGTGGAAGAGGCAGAAGACTGGGAACAAAAATACAAGGAACTTGAGATTGAGCAAGAAGCGTTGCAGAAGCAGTTTACACAGGTCAGGAAACATCGTAACCGGGTGCTGCGGGAGAATGGAGGGCTACGGCGTCAGATGTCCATGGCAGCTGCTCAGCTTGCAGTCACCAATCAGAAGTTTCAAAGGCAGCTTCAGCATTTTCGCACGCAGCTAAACATGGCCGAACATTTGTATCGTGAAAAGATGTTGGAATGCAGTATTCTTGAAGTGCAACTTAAGCATCTTCTGAAGTCCTCTAATTCTTCCCAACAAAGTTATGATTATTCCAGCAGCAACTCCGAAGACCAATCGCGTGAATACATCAACCGATCCATTAACTTTGGTCGCCGTCACGACTTCTCAGTTTCCCGCCCTGTGCAGCGTTCACGCGATGACAATATGAGGCACGTGCATTACGCGGGAAGACAGCAGCATCCGTTCAAGAACGTGACACAACAGAAACGCGTTCTACCGACCCAACCCGATATCCAGCAAATTGAAGACGTCACTGTTGATGGCAGCGCAAATGGTGTGGAAGAGGAGTGTAACTTGCCAGATAATTGTACACCAGAGTATTCTGAGGAGCCTGTTGAAAGCATCAGTGATCCCGAGACTCCTACGCCTACTGACTTGGCAGCTTAGCTAATTTACAAACTGTACTCCAGCTGTTATCTGCTTATAGCTCAATAAATTGTTTTGATTAAATATTGCTCTAATGTGGTGTGCCAGTTCTTTACCATAATTAAAAATGTTAGCCTGCCTTACTGAATGCATGCTAAACCTCTTCCAAAAGTTCTGTTCTATCTAAATTTGCCAAAGACGACAGACCAACAAAACTTAGCAAAAAACTGAAAAAATTGGAAGAAATTTAAAAAAATAGAACATTTGACTTACGCTGTGAATCCCGCACAATGAAAACGATTTTATTTTGGGGCGCACGACAAACTGCTCAAACCTTAACAAAATTGCACCCTTTAATAATTTTGAAAGTTTTATTTCGCCAGTTTAAAGCGAGAAAATCTAACCCAGATATTTAAATGGAAACCCTGTTCTAGGCCTTCCATTAGTGAAGACAAGCGATAAAGGCCAGTGAGCAGAGACCAGTAGTTTATTAGCACACACCGTACCCAGATTCTGGCATTGGCTATTGAGTGGCTTGGGGTATATGCTTTATTGTACATATTTCCAATTTCAGACAGCCATTTCTTTGATAATTTGAATTGAAATCGTTACTGAGTATTTCTTTTACCATGCTTGCAAGAGTTTTTATACTTACTAGTAAATTCAATTTAGAATCTCAATCCCTAATATAATATCTTATGTTCCTATCTGTACAAGGTGAAGAGTTAGTCGAGATGGAGCACTGAGTCATCAGCCCCAGTCTTCACACGGTCATGCCAGTGGACAAAAATTCAAGATGTCGCGTGGTACCAGCGCTGGCTTTGACCGACACATAACAATTTTTTCGCCGGAAGGACGGTTGTATCAAGTTGGTGAGTTAATTGCTTCCAAATAATGATTGCTAAAGTGTTCAAATAACGATTTTTTTGGTGCTTTCCACGCACAGAATATGCTTTCAAAGCAATAAATCAAGGCGGATTAACATCTATTGGTCTTCGTGGGGCTGACTCAGCAGTAGTTGTGACTCAAAAGAAAGTCCCGGTGAGTTCTTTTTCCTTACTTACTATCCACACTATTGTCTGAATAAAAGAAACGTTGTGCTGTTACTGTCATTCAGGTTGATTTCACCGATTTTAATTTTACAAGCCGTGGAATTATAAACTTTCATTTCGGCTTCGAAATCGTTTGATCGAGATAGAGGATTTATGGTCGCTCTAAAATGTTTAGTTTGTTTCCCTGTTAAAAATTGTTAGTTATTTTCCGTGACTAGTTTTTTCGAACTTGATTTAGTTATTTCAGAATAAATTTTATTCCTTTTTTGTAAGAAGTTATCTCTACATCTAGATTGTAAAGTTTTTTAGATGGACCTACTGAACTTCCAATGACAATTTTGACTTGGTAACCTCGCTTATTCTGTTAGGGGTATCCAACAACCACATGCAGGTTAAATAGACTTGATCTAGTATTAAATTTTAACCATAGGCTCACTGCATTGGGTAATGGAAAGTCTAGAGCTAAAGTTTTGAGTCTGTGTTTCTAAGACAGCATACCTCCTCTATTTTTTAAAGTGTCTTTCTGTAAGTCCATTATTCTACATGTAATGGTTTTGTTTGCAAGGTTTCATACTTAATTTTTCAACTTAGCACCTTGCTTGAACATTGTTATTTGTATTTTAAAGGCTTCATGTAGAGGTAAAACTGCAAATTTAACTTGTTGACATATATGATTATGAAAGTATGTTTGTTGGTTGTTGTAAACCCTGAATTAATTCTTGCTTTCTTGTTATTTTGTTTTACAGGACAAACTACTGGATGCCTCTACTGTAACTCACATGTTTGAGTTATCAGAGAGAATAGGATGTGTTATGACTGGCCTGATAGGTACTTTTATTACTTTGGACTCGAATATCTCTCTGTTCTCAGGAACCCTGACACCATACTGTCCAGGTTTTTCTGTATTTTGCATGAGAGATTGAAGAATTTTCACTTAACTATATTTCCACTTCTCTGGTGAAATCTTAATGGCTTGAGCTATCTTTTATGGAGACATAAAGAAGAGAATTTTTCCTGTCACTTTTCATCATTTTTCTGTCAATACAATTGTTAAGAAAACCCTGTAATACTTTATACACGTACATCTCAAGATACACTTAAACTTCCACAATGCACCAAGATTCTCTTGGTTGATGAAGTCATCCTTATTGGTCAGTCTAGAACTAAAAGTGATTATGGGTTATAGCTCTTCACATGTAGTCTGTTAAAAAGTCCCAAGTTCCTGTGTTCTTAAGCACCTGTTATGCAATGATTGATTATAGAAGGTATATTCATAAACCACAATTTATAAGGACACCAAGTTGATAATGTGACCACAAGATGGGAGTAATCTACTTGGATCTTTAGCTTATAATGGGTCTGGCAATCTGACAATTATCCTTTGGCTACTTTTAATTCCCTGTTATTAATTCGTTACTGTATTACACTTATTTTGTTTGTAGCGGATGCACGTTCCCAGGTTCAGAGAGCTAGATATGAAGCAGCCAACTGGAAATATAAATACGGGTATGAAATTCCTGTAGACATGCTGTGTAAGAGAATTGCTGACATTTCACAGGTGTACACTCAAAACGCTGAGATGAGACCACTTGGATGCAGTAAGTGAGAAATAGTTGATTAATTAAGCTAATTCCCAACAGTTTTTTCTGTTTTGCTTTGTTTTGTTTTGTTTTTTTGTTTTTGTTTTTGGGTTTTTTTTGTGGGCCGAGACAATGTGGCCAAAGGCTTAGCAGGCTTGCCTTTTGGTTGAAAGGTTCTGGTTCTAGACCTGGTCTTGTCACTGTGTTTGTTCTAGGGCAAGACATTAATTCCCGCTGTGCCTCTCTCCATTAAAGAGTCTAAATGGATACAAGTAAACTGTCAGGGAATTGTGAAAATGCTTGGGGAAGGGGGAGAGAGGTAGCCTAAAATGGACTGGCATCCTATCCCAGGGGAGTAGCAATACTCCCAGCAGCTTCATGTGGTAGGAAGTGGAACAAGCTGTGGTAGGGTAGAGCCCCCTTGGCTTAAGCCCTGAATTAATTATGAAAGTAGATGAAAATAATTGTTTCATTTTTGCAGGTATGATTTTGGTTGGTATAGATGATGAAAAAGGTCCACAGTTGTACAAAACAGACCCTGCTGGATATTACTGTGGTTTCAAAGGTTGTAGTGTTGGTGTAAAGCAAACAGAAGCAAATAGCTTTCTGGAAAAGAAAATAAAGAAAAAACATGCATGGACACAAAGTGAAACAATTGAGGCAAGTATCTTGTGGTCTATGCAAAAAGTTTCCTCATTTGACCTAGAAATTTGCACAAATATTTTCCAGTGACAGATCATGACTTAGGACACATATAAAAGCACAGTTTTGCACTAATACAAGGCCTTTTTGTTTATTTTCCTAAAGTCTTTTCTTCTTAAAATATTTTTTCCACTTAATGAGAAAAGTACTCTGTGTCTTCTTCTGTATCCAATAAAAATGCTCTCCTGTGCAAATTGAATCTTGAACCCAGAATTTTATTTCAAGTGAGGTTTGAGCCCTGGATAATATCACCAGGAATTCCAAAGGAGACCTGTGGCTTAGGTCCTTAAAAACCATGACATGTATCTTATTTACATACCCACAGACTGCCATCAGCTGCCTGTCATCTGTGTTATCTGCAGACTTTAAGCCATCTGAGATAGAAGTTGGCATTGTGACAACTGATAATCCACGCTTCAAGTAAGTGTCCCCATGAATTAATTCATTGCATCTTCCTGTACTGAGTGAGTTTCAATTGATCATCCAGCCAGGCTCATGGTTTTGAGAGAAAATTGCAAACATTTTTTGCTGCTTAGCCATATTTATTTTTGTATGTCTGAAAAGAAAAAACTGCAAACTCTGTTGCTACAAAGCAAAGTAATCACTATGACCCCTCAGAACAAAGAGAAATTTAACAAGGAACTGAAAGTAGCAAGAAGTTGAATACGTGAAGTGCAGGAAAGGTACAAAGGTGACAATCAGTTTTACTTGATGATCAGGTTGGTTGAAAACTTGGTGCAAGTTCTCCACAACAATTATAAAGTACAGTGAAGGAACACCAAAGGAATCTCAGATTACTTTTGAGTCTTTTTTTTTTAGAATAGCTCGCTTGATTATTGAATTTAATCCAGCTTTCAAGCTTGGTTTGACTTAGTGCAATTGACGATTGGTCTGGAAAATCTTGCACTACTCTCTCTACGAAGTGAATACAAAGCCAAACCAAAAAGCGACCTGATAACTCATTTTCCTGCACTTTGAAGTTGGTTACATATATTTTTACTTCGAGTTGTCATTGGCTCCTTGTGATATTTTCCTGTCTCCTATTTTTTTTCTGGCTTGAACACTCAACACCTTTGTGTTTTGAAACACATTGGGAATATTACTGAGTTTAATAGCTCCATTGTTGGTCTTACAGGATCCTAACAGAAGCAGAAATTGATGTACATTTGGTGGCCATCGCTGAGCGAGATTAGCTGCTGACTAGGAACATTGCTCAACACAGGAACTGACTGTCTAAAGAACCTACAAATGCTACTTGTAGACTTTCAACTCTGTTATAACTTGCTACTTTCACTCACAAAATAAAACATGATTGAATTCTTAACTTTGTTTCCTTTTGTCAATAAAGTGATAGCTCTCACATCATTATTTTGTAGCTGAAGTAAGAGTATCTTAATTGTTCTAATTGTTTCATCATGTTTGTTGACATTGAATCATATTAAGCATATAACCATGAGCACTCACTCCTGGTGACTATCTGCAAAGCTGGGGTGACAGTCTTTTGTGTTTCCATTTAAACAGTTTGACTGGTTTTAAATCAAGCTCTACAGCTTTTGTATTTGTCTCTTTCTAAATAAATTTTGTTGAAAAATTGTAATTTTACTTGAACTTGTGATATGAGATGCTGTTGATATTGGGCAACAATTGTATATAATGCAAGAATTTGCCTTTCTTGAGAAGTCTGTTCATCAAATCACTTAAAAAAACATTGTTTAAATTGTCCTTGTTAGCTTTGAACTAGCCTTGAATTAGTAGTACTGAATATGAGAATTTGAAACCAGCTATAGTCACAACAAATTGTGAGCTGATTTGTCTTTGTTTCTCAGGCTGTGATTGTTTGCAAAGTGATGCACATTGCATGAGTGCAGTTTGAAAGAAAGGGTCAAGTCCGTTGATTTGAGGCCGTTTTATTTTCGCTTTTGAGCCCTTCGTGGGATTTTGACTGATGTAGTAGTCATCAGAAGAGTGACAGTACATGACTGTTACACAACATGTTCAGATTTTTACCCATGCGTAGGCTTGGGGACAAATTACAAAGCATCCGAGTGGTGGCCTGGGAATAGTAACTTAAAAATCTGTTGCAACCAGCACTTTCCTAGAGATTTGTATGTTTGAACTTAAAAACACAATTTTGATGCGGTAGATGTGGCTGAAAGGACATTGTTTTGATGGGTGCATTTCTAGACAAACCAAAGACTGAAAAACTGACAAAGTCTGCGTCGGGAAATGGACTTCGCTATGGGCTGGCGTCTATGCAAGGCTGGCGTATTGAAATGGAAGATGCTCACACTGATATCACTGGCTTGAACCCGGAGCTTCAAGAATGGTCATTTTTTGGCATTTTTGACGGCCATGCAGGCTCAAATGCGAGTCTTTATTGTGCAGAGAATCTCCTAGGATGTGTTTTATCGAGCGATGATTTTAAATCGGCACTAAAAAACGGGCCATCTTCGCCTGACTTGGAGCAGCTTAAAAGCGGGATAAAGAAGGGATTTTTTGAGCTGGACAAAACGATGCGAGAACGCCCAGCCTGGATAAACGGGGATGACAAAAGTGGTACTACAGCCGTAACAATCATGATTACCCCTAAGCAATTTATCTTTGCCAACTGTGGAGACTCTAGGGCTATTTTATGTAGCAACGAGAAAGTGACTTTCCATACAGTCGATCACAAGCCATCCAACCCAGACGAGAAAAATCGCATTGAGAGGGCTGGGGGTAGTGTTATGATCCAAAGGGTAAACGGCTCTTTGGCAGTTTCTAGGGCTTTAGGAGATTTCGAGTACAAGATGGATAAAGTTTTAGATGCGGATAAACAACTAGTTTCGCCAGAGCCGGAGATTTCGGTGATTTCAAGACAAGATGATGTGGATGAGTTTATCGTGGTCGGCTGCGATGGTATCTGGGATGTGATGACTAACGAAGAAGTAGGAGATTACGTTCGCTCAAGAATGCTTCTTTCTGACGATTTAGAACTAATTTGCAGCGAGCTCCTCGACACCTGTCTAGCAAAGGTGAGATTGTCAGTTTTTATGTTGTTTTTGATCAGTTTTGTCGTCGGATTCACGTGGTTGTACACGTAATGTTAGGTAGTAACGGCAAATAAGCGTTTGTGTTAAAACAGTTAGCCTTAACTTTGTTAGGAAAGTTCTCCGTCGCATTAACTTGCAGACAGTCTGTTAATTGAAGTGATCTGAAATGTTTCATAAACAAGTGAGCTTTCTCAGCTGTTTTGAGCTTTTTAAACTAGAATATTTTAAAAGCCAGCTGCATAGTACGGATCGTATTGTTACAAATCCTACCATGTATTTTTCATGTGGATTGTACAGAAGATTTTACGGAGGCATAATTACCTAATATTTTCGTAGAGACAACAAAAATTGAGTAAAGTTATCTTTGATGTATTTGAAGCATAATTTTTTGAAGTTTTGCGTCGTTCACAACTCGTTAAGACATTCCCGGAAACTCTATGGCTTCAGATAAATAACGAGTGACTCTACCCTTAAATACCAGACCTCTAAGCACGTCTTTTCGCAAATAGTTGTCTTGATGTTTACTGTTAAAATGTTTCCATGTGTTCCTTTGGTGGTTTTTTTTTTTTGGCTTATTGATAATCCATATCATTTCCAAACTGACTGGCACCTTTAGAGTCATTTATTTTACATGTTTTTCCGCAGTGTATTAGAATTTGAGGTTCCTTGGTGTAGCTCATTTTCACTTTCACTTAATTTCACAGGGAAGTCGTGATAACATGAGTGTGATTTTGGTCACTTTCCCTGGAGCACCTCGAGTTTCTGAGGATGCCATTAAACAGGTACTTCATGTTAGTACAGGTTATTTGTATTGTTGACTTTATGAACCTGACAACAATTAAATTGCCCCACTTTTGAATTAGGGAAAAGACAAAGAATTGTGTTCTGGCACTATTTGCTAGAAAGGTGACAATCTTACAGTCATGTTTGAAAATCTTAATTGTAATAAGGATAGTGAGGGTCATTCTGCCATGTTTCCTGATATTTTCGAGGTTTGAATTTAAAAAGTATAACATTTTTTTTATCTAGGACTTAACATCACAACATAATATATCTCTTTGGGACTTTTCTCTTTTGTTTATTTATTTTTAGGAAGCAGACCTTCATGCTGACATAGAGAAAAGAATAGAAGGTAGGTCCAGTTTAACAGTAGAAAGTACTGTGCATGTCAAAAAATATAACTTTGCTCTGTAAGTGTTGATAAAATTTACATGAGAAACCACATTCTTCACCATCCCTCATTTCCTGTGAGGTGTAGCCACTGAAAGTTTCTTAAAGGGTTGATCAGTAGTGAGGTCATATGGCTTTTGGCAGTTTAGGTTTTTCCTGGTTAATTGTGTGCACTAAGCTTCAGATGTAGAGTGGTTTCTTGACAAAAGTTGATTTACAATGTTCTCAAGTTAATTGAGAACATTACTATGTCATCTTTTCAGCCACCAACAAGAGAACTACCTTCATTCAAATTTTTTAAAAATGATCCAGCAAACAAACTTTTGTTAAAATGGAGGATACAAAAGTTCCTGTTGTTGATTTATTTGTTGTCTAAAAAATTGACTCTAAAGTTTTTCTGTAGTAAGCTCAAAGTACATTTTTATTTGTTCTTCCACTTTAGCGATACTCCAAGAAAACCCTGGTGGGGTTGATTTGTATTACGCCATGCATTTATTATCCAGTGAGGACATTCCTTCCTTGCCCCCAGGGGGAGGACTCCAGGCTAAGTAAGTATTACCATGGTGATGCCCTCAGTATAATTAACTTCCAGTACATAACAATTTTTACAAGTAATACTCTCTGTATTTGTCTTGCATTTATTTCCACTTAGGGTTGGGTTGTTCTAAACATGATTAACGTAACCCAGGATTAGTGTAAATTTTTTATTTATTTTTTTAGCTTTGCAATGGGATTTTTCTTTTATATTTTTCCCCATTAGTTTCAAGTCATATTGAGATAGAACCCAACAAAACCTTAGCCCATATCCCAGGTTTTTGGCTTACTATAAAGTTTTTGTTTTGACTTCCATTTTACAGGCAGATTTTTGTTCAGAAGACATTGGAAAAACTGTCAGCCAAACAGGAAAATGAGGTGAAAAACATCCAATCTCACTTTTCTATATTTATGGCTTAAGCCAATTTAAACTGTCTAACTTTTCAAATGCTGAACCTGATACCCTCCAGTTGATTCAATTATGCTGTGAAGAAGAACACAAAACTGGTGGATATAAATAAACAAATCAGCCGACAAACATGTGCAAATGTTTCTTAATTTATCTTATACAAAAATTAAACACCACTGGTTTCAACAAAGCTAATCAATTCCTGACTCCTTGTTGCCTGACCTCAGAAGCCTGTGCTTTGTACTATACAGAGATCACAGTTGTCCAGGTTTGATATATTCCTGGTCTCATTTATTAACTTTAAACAGGGCAAAAAACATACTCTCATACTGATTAAACTTGAATGCTACAATTTGAGGAGCAGAACACACTGATTTTGATTTTTAAATCAATTATTTGGTTTAACCGAAACAGGGTTGTAACGTGGTAATTTGAACCAGGCTTATGTTTATTTTCTCTGTACTTTTAATATTCCTGGCAGGTGCTTTCACTGTGGTGCCAGGCCCAACAAATTTTTTCTGATTGTTATAGAGCATAGTGTTATTTCCCTTGTCATGACACCCTCTCTTGTGTAGTAGAACATATGGAGAAGTATGCTCCCTGTTTGAAACCACATAATATTTATCCCCATGCCTCCATCCAAAAGTGGTAAAAAAATTATGACATCAAACAAGTATTGAGGTGCTGAACAATGGCTACTAGCCAACCTTTTACAAGTTGTCTTCAAATGTGTTAAAAATTTGACAGGGACACAGCTTTTCCTTCTTGTTCAGAACTGTGGCAGCATATCTATGATGTAAAAAAAATTCTCTCTCTTCTTTTTCACCTTTTGATAGTTTTTCTGGAACGATAATAAGCCGCATAAAGAGGCATTCCTTTACTCTAGTGTTCAGTAATATATCTAGAGCAGGAACTGTTTCTGACTCGTATGTTGAAGTTTTGTGTGTATGGTTAAGCTACTGAGCTGTTTTCAAAATGTGGGTGTGTTTTCCCGAATGTTAACTCATTTAAAGACAATTTCAAACAGATAGCTTACTTGTTTGAATACCAAAGCACAAATAAAAGTAAATTTGTCCTTATGCTTTTGAATGACATGGAGAAAACTGTATGTTGTTTGGATTGTGCTTCTCCTTTAACCCTTTTTACCCAAACATCAGGATGCATATTCTCCGTACTGTT